CCTTCCCCCTCCTGCCCAGCCCCCCAGTTCTTCCTTCCCCCTCCTGCCCAGTCCGCCAGTTCTTTCCAGGGGGCAGCCCCTTGTCCCTGTGTCTTCCCAGGGACCTTTATGATTTATGCATATTCAAGCACATGTGCATATTAGGCTCTGCCCCCCCTCCATTTTTATGCAAATGCTGGCACACCTCTTGTCCTGTCCTCTCTACTGTCTACACTGTGTCCCTTGTCATCATCCGGAAGTCAGCTGACCCAGCCCCTGTGATGGACGTGGGCCTCTCTAGACAGAGGCCCAGGAAAAGTGACATCTTTTTTGTCCTCTTTGCCTCTTTCCCTGCTCTTTCTCCGCTTCTATTCCTCCCTCTCCCCTGCCCTCCACCTCTCCTCTCTCTCACCATTGATTCGGGTTCTTGGGGGCCTCCCTTGGGGTCCTCCTCCAGCAGGCTAGCCCCCCACCCTGAAGTGCATCCTGCTCCCCTTGTGGGTGCCTCTGTTGTGACCCTCATTGCACTGTGTCACATCTTAGTCTATGTAACAGCTAGTATCTTATCCACAGTGTCTCCACTGTCACCAGCCCCAGCTCAGGCCTGGCACTTAGAGGTGATCAATAAACGTTTGTGGAATGAATGAATGCGCTGGGGCTGCGTGGAGAAGAAAGCTGTCCGTGCCTTCTTGGTCTGCTGCCCTCCTGGCCAAGGTGGGGCCGTGCATCCCTGGCCCAGACCCACCATCCGTGAGCCTCATTTGCAAAGGGAGCAGTGCCAAGGCCAGAGTGGGATAAACCTACCACCTGTCCTTGGATCCCAGCCTCCCCAGCACCACCAGTTCAAGTAAAGACTCACCCTGGGCTTCTGCTCCAGTAGGGACTCATCCAGGTCCCCACGCCCTCAGTGAGTTACAGTATGAGCACTTCCCTCCTCTCCAGCCAGAACCTCTCACTGCGACCATCCACCACCACCCACACCACACCCCAGAATCCGTCCACAATCTCTGCCTTTCCCGAACCCGAACCTGGAAGGTTGTGGGCCTGATAGGCGGTCCAGAAATACTCCTGGAATGAATGAAGGAAGGGAGGAAGAAAGGAAGGAATCTCTTCATCTCCAACTTTCTTCCCTCCCCGCCAACCCTTCTACCAACAAAGCCTCAGTCCCAGCTATGGTGCTTTTCTGTTTTGGGGGAGTGGCTTTCCCGGGCACCCCCAGTGTTGACTCCCCCCGCTTGGGCACGCGAGTGGAGGCCGCAAGTTTGCTCCCTTGGGGCTGCTCAGAACCCTAATGACTACGATTTCCTTGCAGGCTGGGCCGCAAGGCCCCCCTGGTCTGGTTGTACCTGCAGCTGGCATTTTCAGGGGCCGCCACAGCGTATTTCAGCTCCTTCAGTGCCTACTGCGCCTTCTGGTTCCTGGCGGGCATGACCTTCTCTGGCGTCATCCTCAACTCCCTCTCGCTGGGTGAGTCCAGCCAGGGAGTCTGGGGGCTCTGGAGGGCACAGGGCTTGAGGAAGCAGGGAGATGAAGCCCGTGAATTTTCTTTGTCCTATTGATTTGTAAGAACTTTTCCAATATTAGGGAAATTAACCCTTTCTCTGTTATTTGAGTTGTAAAAAAAATTTTTTTTTGCCAGTTTTTGCCAACATTATGACTTTGCTTATGGTGTTCTTTTTCAATGCAGGCATTTCTTGTTTTTTATGAAGTCAAATTTGTTGGTCTTTTTTTTTTTTTTTTAATTGTATTTGGGTTTTGTGGCATCCTTGGAAAGGCCTTTCCCAACTCTAAAATTGTAATAAATCTACCATGATTTCTTCTAAGATTTTTGTTGTTTTATTGTTTAAATCTAATTCTTTGACACACCTGGAATTTACCTGGGCGTAAGGGTGAGGGGAGTCCCTGGGTGGTACAAACGATGAATGCGTACGGCTGCTAACCAAAAGGCTGGAGGTTTGGGTCCACCCAGAGGTGCCTCAGAAGAAAGGCCTGGAGATCTACTCCAAAAAATCAGCCATTGAAAACCCTGTGGAGCACAGTTCTACTCCAGCACACATGGGGTCACCATGAGTTGGAATCAACTCAACAGCAACTGGGTAAGGAGTGAGATAGGGTCTGTGTCTCCATGGATCTCTGGAATTATTTCAGGTTAATACATGAGGCCGTCGTGAGTCTGAATTGACTCTATGGCAACGGGTTTGAACCACAGGGTCCTCATAAAGGGGCAAGGTGAGTTAAATAGCCACGTGGGTGGCTGAGTCACACTGAGCATGTTGTCATTTTTCCTCAGTCGTGGAGTGGATGCCCACCCAGGGCCGGACCGTGGCAGGCATCCTGCTGGGCTACTCCTTCACCTTTGGCCAGGTCATCCTGGCCACAGTGGCATACCTGATCTGCCCCTGGCGGTGGCTGCAGTTTGCTGTCTCTGCTTTCCTGATCTTTTCCCCCTATTCTTGGTATGTCTGAGCAGAGTTGGGTGGGAAGGGTGCACCTGTGTGTCCGAGCCCTCACCTGGCCCTATGCAAAGCTTGGGGTGTGCAGTGGCTGGGACTTGCCCGACTTGGAGGGGCCACGGGCTCACGAGTGCGTACGTCTGGCTCTCAGGGAGCTCCAGTAAAATCCCTGTTAGTGTGATGCTCCAGAACATACCCGGTGTTTTTGCCTTCCTCAACTCCTCTGTGCCTACAACAACCCTGTATGGGGACACATAGCATTTTATGGGAGGGGAACTGAGGCACAGCCCAGAGAGGGTCCCTGACTTATTCAAGCCTACTCAGCTGGGGGCAGAACCAGATGGGAAACCGGGTCTGTTGAAGTCCTGAGCCCTATGCTGTCTCTAAGTGCCCCTCAGTGATTCTCTGTAGGATGTGCTGGAAAAAAAAAGGGGGGGGGTAGCTGGCGTGTCCCCCAGCCTTTCCGGATTCTACAGACGGGAGGAAATTTCAGCTGTCATGAGGGCCTGAAGAAGGTGAATGAAGGTGCACTTGGTTTGGGGAATGGAATGAGTGGCGCGCAGCCCTGGGTCATTCTTCACTCCTCTGCCAATCCCAGGTGGCTGCCAGAGTTGTCCCGATGGCTCCTGCTTCATGGCAAGTCCCAGCTAGCTGTGCAGAACCTGCGGAAGGTGGCGACAATAAACGGGAGAAAGGAGGAAGGGGAAAGGCTGACCAAGGAGGTAAGGGGGTGGGCAGAGGGGCGGGGAGGAACAGTCTTCAGTCTTGTTGGCTGCCTCCAGTTCTACTGGAATTTGGTAGCTTCCCAGGACTCACCATCCAGGTTTAATCCAGTTGCCATCAAGTCGATTCTGACTCATGGTGACCCCATGTGTGTCAGAGTAGAACTAGGCTCCATGGGGTTGTCGGTGGCTGATTTTTTGGAACTAGATTGCCAGGCCTTTCTTTTGAGGCGCCTCTGGGTAGACTCAAACCTCCAACCTTTTGGTTAGCAGTTGAGCTCATTAACGATTTGCATCACCCAGGAAGGGAGAGGAGACGAGGGTCAACCATCTTGCCAGGGACCTCAACTCCGACCCTCCTTGCCACCGATGGAGGAATTCCCAGCAGGAAAACAGGATCCCAGATTCCTCACTTCCCCTGATCAGATTTTTCTCACCCAGGTGGTGAGCTCCTACATCCAGAGTGAGTTTACAAGAGGCTGCACCTCTAACTCGGTCTTAGACCTATTCCGAACCCCAGCGTTCCGCAAGGTCACGTGCTGTCTCATGCTGGTCTGGTAGGTGATGGGCTCCAGCCCAGGTCTTTGACCTGAGGCAAGGACACACCTTTTTTGTTTGTCTATTGTTGTAGTTTAAGCGAAAGTTTACATTTCAAGTCAGTCTCCCATACAAAAATTTATACATACATTGTTATGTGACCCTAGTTGCTCTACCTATACTGTGACAGCACATTCCTCCTTTCCACCCCGATTTCCCACATCCATTCCACCAGCTCCTGACCCTCTCTGCCTTCTCATCTCACCTCCCAACAGAAGCTGCCCGTTTAATCTCTTGTAGCTACTTGAGCTAAGAGGCACACTCTTCACAAGTACCATTTTATGTCCCACAGTCCAGTCCAATCTTTGTCTGAAGAGCTGGCCTCAGAAATTGTTTTAGTTCCGGGCTGATAGAGAATCCAGGGGCCATGCTTTCCAGGGTTCCTCCAGTCTCAGTCAGACGATTAAGTCTGGTCTTTTTACTAGAATTTGAGTTTTCTGCACCCCACCTTTCTCCTGCTCCATCAGGGACTCTCTGTTGTGTTCCCTGTCAGGGCAGTCATTGGTGGTAGCCGGGCACCATCTAGTTCTTCTGGTGTCAGGCAGATGAAGTCTCTGGTTTATGTGGCCCTTTCTGTCTCTTGGGCTACTACTTTCCTTGTGTCTTTGGTGTTCTTCATTCTCCTTTACTCCAGGTGGTTGGGACCCACTGATGAATCTTAGATGGCCGCTTGCAAGCTTTTAAGACCCCAGACGCCACTCCCCAAAGTAGGATGCAGAACATTGTCTCAATAAACTTTGTTATGCCAATTGACCTAGATGTCCCCTGAAAGCATGGAAGGACACACCTTTTGTCTTCACTAACAAACTCTGTTCTAAAACACCCTTCCTACAATGAGCAGGTCTAAAAATGGTGTGGGGCCTGCATCTGACCTTCTCTAACTTCACAAGGGGGAAGGAGAATCAAGATCAACAGCCCAAGGTTCATTCCTATGAGGCGGAGGTCAGACATGCCTCCTCTCCAAACTTTTTACCAAATCTGACACCAACTGTCCCTCCCACGGCCCTCTGTACTTCTCTGCTGGTTTGATAATTCGTTGCAATGGCTGCACAGAACTCACAGACAATACTCACGATTATGGGGTTTATTAGGGAAGTAACAGGTTACAATTCAGGTTCAGGAATCCTCACGATACAGTTCTTCCATCAGGACATCCTCTTCTCAGCTGTGCCCACAGGCACACTTCTTTCTGGCCCCTCAGCCTCTGCCCTACTTGAGCAAGTGGTACAAAACTCTTTTAGCTCTGCTGATGAGTGCCCAGAGGCACCCCACTCTGCCAGTAAGCCTTGGCCTGAAGGCGCTCAGCTCTAGCTCTGTGGGTCAGCAAGCTTACCTCCACCAAGTGCCCAGAGGCATCCTACTCCACCAGCAAACTTCCTGCCTGAAGGCACTCAGCTTTCTCACTCCGTCGGCTAGGAAGCCCACTATGCCATCTCCTGCAGGTCTCTCTTGACGCTGTTTCTCTGCCACTGCTTCTCACTCTCTTCAGTGTTACAGCTGACTCTACCCCCACTCCCCTTGGTGCTCTCCAGGGGATTCTGGGAAGTGTCCTGCTCTGGAAAAACATCATGTGTCCAGCAGTGGACAGACAGAGAAGCAATAACTTCCCTGCAACGCAAAGAGTATCATAACTACAGTTCTCTTCTTTGGGCTGCTGAGGGCTTCATGCAGGAGAGGGCATTTAGGTGACTTTTAATTGAGTTTGCCTGGTGACTGGGAAGGAGTTCCCGTCAGAGAGATCAAGACGTACACAGGTGAAGCTGTGAAATGGATAAAAAGATACAGGCGACCCATACGTGTCAGCATAGGCTGAAAGCCGGCAAATGCTTATGTAAGGAGCTAGTTAAAAGGAAAAAAAAAAAAAGATGACCATTTTTTAATTTCAATTCATTGGATTTCCTGGATATTTTAATAATAAACCAAAAAACCCAAAACAAGACCCACTTCTGGCAAATCAATTCTGACTCATGGCGACCCCGTGTGTTACAGAGTTCCGCCAGAACCCAGCTCCATAGGGTTTTCTTGGTCATAATTTTTATGGATCAGCAGTCTGCTTCCATAAGGATTTACAGCCTTGGAATTCCTATAGGGCAGTTCTCTTCTATCCTACAGGGTCGCTAAGAGTCGGAATTGACTCAACGGCAGTGGGTTTGGGTTTAATTTTTATGGAAGCAGATTGCCAGGCCTTTCTTCTGCAGTGCCACTGGGTGGGTTCCAAATGCCAACCTTTCGGTTAGTAGTTGAGGGCAAACCGTTTGTGCCATCCACGGACCTATTTTAATAATAATAACACAATGTTGCCATTGAGTCGATTCCGACTTATAGCGATCCTGTAGGATAGAGTAGAACTGCCCCACAGGGTTTCCAAGGCTATAATCTTTATGGAAGCAGACTGCCACATCTTACTCCTGTGGAGCGACTAGCAGGTTCCAACCGCGGACCTTTCTGCTAGCTGCAAGCGCTTAACCATTGCGCCACCAGGGCTCCTTTTTATGAGGATTTAAAGAGTTAAAAGAGATTAAAAGCGTGTCAAACCGCACCTGGCACCTGGCACTTTCTCAGTAAATGAGTCTTTGTTCCTGGGTTTGGGATGATGTCCCCTGTGCGCAGCGCCTGTGGACACGCAGTTCTGGCCAGGCAGCAGGATGCTCCTCAGAACACAACTCCAGGGAAGGGACGTCTTATTCTGGTGGCTTTGCCTTCTCCAGCCAGCTACTTCTTCACCTTCCTCCTCCCGCTAGGAGAAAACAGCTGAATTCGAAATTCCGGTTGAAAGTCTTCTCTTGGATCTTCCTGGAAACGGTAAACGAAGTCCTGTTGTGTCAACAAAACAGTAATTCGGCAGTGTCGTGACAGCAGTGTCGTGACGGCAGTGTAGTGACGGCGGTGACGAGACGGCGGTGTCGTGACGTCGGTGTAAAGACGGCAGTGTCTTGACGGCAGTGTAGTGGCGGGTCACCCTGTTCAGAGTCTCAACAGGCAGATGGGAAGAGCTGCCTGCGGGAGCAGGTCCCACTGACTGGCTTCCAGCTGCTGTGGGACTCCACCGGGTCACACAAACTGGAACTTCCCAACCCAGCCCGGAAAATCGTGAAAGTTTCCAAATCTGTTTCACTTTGTTGAAGTCTGGGAGGCCAGGACCTGGGAACAATTGCGTCATCTATCCTTTGGGGAAGGGAAGACAGCCAGTGTGGCTCCCTTCCTAACTCACATCTTGGGGGCGGCAGATTCCTGAAGTTCAAAAGGGCTCCAGAGGAGGAACGGGAAGTGTTAAGAGCTGGTAGACATTCGCAGTCTTCTACCAAACCCCATTATTAATGCCTTCCCTTAACTTGGATATTTTTTCTTTACTGGCTTTTTCTAAATTACAAAGGTGATGTGTACTCATTGTTAAAAAAAAAAATTTTTTTTTTTTTTTGTCCTCAGTCCATCTGGGAATATAAAGGCAAGACTCTGGAACCAGATTACTTGAGTTTAAATCTCAGCTCTGCCGCTTTCTGGCTGTGTGATCTTGAGAAAGTTACTGAACCTCTCCGTGCCTCCATTTCCCCATCTGTAACATGGGCATCATCATAGTGCCTGCCTCACAGGATTGTTATGAAGATTGGAAGAGTTAATATATATAAAGCAGGTAGGCCAGTGCCTAACGCATGGTACACATGAGCTAAGTGTTACCTGTTACTACTGTAGAAGATAAAGGTGAACGTTTCTCCCACCCTACGCCTCTTCCTCTTCCTATCCCCCTCCCCTGACAGCAGCAAGCCCTGTCAACCATGGGTTTGTATCCTTCCAGACCTTTGTTTCTGTGCATACATTACATGCATACACTTACAAAAATGGGTTAGTAGCATACGTATTCTGCTACTTACTTTTGTATAACTTCATGGTATCTGTGAATATCTTTACCACGTTACATGAATCCAGCTCCTATCATAAGGGTGTTGTTGTTAGGTGCCATCGAGTTGGTTCTGAGTTGTATCTACCCTATGTGCAACAGAACGAAACACTGCCTGGTCCTGCGCCATCTGCACAATCATTACGCTTGAGCCCATCGTTGCAGGCACTGTGTCAATCCATCCCCTTGAGGGTCTTCCTCTTTTTCACTGACCCTCTACTTTACTGAGCGTGACATCCTTCTCCAGGGACTGATCCCTCCTGACAGCATGTCCAAAGTATGTGAGATGATGTGTCGCCATCCTGGCTTCTAAGGAACATTCTGGCTGTACTTCTTCCAAGACGGATTTGTTCATTCTTCTGGCATTCCATGGTATATTCAATATTCTTCGCGAACACCATAATTCAAAGGCATCAATTCTTCTCTGGTCTTCCTTACTCATTGTCCAGCTTTCCCATACATATGAGGTGATTGAAAACACCATGGCTTGAGTCAGGTGCACCTTAGTCTTCAAGGTGACATCTGTGCTTTTTAACACTTTAAAGAGGTCTTTTGCAACAGATTTGCCCAAATGCAATGCATCATTTGATTTCTTGACTGCTGCTTCCATGGGCATTGATTGTGGATCCAAGTAAAATGAAATCCTTGACAATTTCAGTGTTTTCTCCATTTATCATGATGTTGCTTATTGGTCCAGTTGTGAGGATTTTTGTTTTCTTTACGTTGAGGTGTAATCTGTACTGAAGGCTGTGGTCTTTGATCTTCATCACTTAGGGCTTCGTCTTCATTTTCAGCAAGGAAGGTTGTGTCATTTACATATCGCGGGTTGTTAATGAGTCTTCCTCCAATCCAGATGCTCCGTTCCTCATATAGTCCAGCTTCTTGGATTATTTGCTCAGTATACAGATTGAATAAGTATGGTGAAAAGATACAACCCTGATGCCCACCTTTCCTGACTTTAAACCTCACAGTATCCTCTTGTTCTGTTCAAACAACTGCCGCTTGATCTATGTACAGGTTCCTCATGAGCACAATTAAGTGTTCTGGAATTCCCATTCTTCGCAGTGTTATCCATAATTTATTATGATCCACACAGTGGAATGCCTTTGCATAGTCGATAACCACACAGGTAAGCATCTTTCTGGTATTTTCTGCTTTTAGCCAGGATCCATCTGACATCAGTAGCAATATCCCTGGTTCCATGTCCTCTTCTGAATCTGGCTTGAATTTCTGGCAGTTACCTGTCAAAGTACTGCTGCAACCGCTTTTGAATGATCTTCAGCAAAATTTTACTTGTGTGTGATATTAATGATATTTTTGGCTAATTTCCTCATTCATTTGAATCACCTTTCTTTGGAATAGGCATAAATATGGATCTCTTCCAGTCGGCTGGCCAAGTGGCTGTCTTCCAAATTTCTTGGCATAGAATAATCAGTACTTCCAGCACTGCATCCGTTTGTTGAAACATTTCAATTGGTATTCCATCATTCCTGGAGCCTTGTTTTTCACCAACGCCTTCAGTGCGGCTTGGACTTCTTCCTTCAGAACCATCGGTTCCTGATGATATGCTACCTCCTGAAATGGTTGAACAGCAACCAATTTTTTATTTTATTAGTATTTTTAATTGTACTTCAGGTGAAGGCCAACAGAACAAATAGTCTCTCATGAAATAGCAGTACACATACCGTTTTATGACACTGGCCAACAACCCCACGACATGTCGACCATCTCCCTTCTCGACCCTTTTTTTTTGGTGAAAATATACATAGCCAAAGATACACCATTTCAAAAATTTCTGCATGCATAGTTCAGTGACATCGACTACACTCTTCCAATTGTGCTGCTATTCTCACTCTAGGTGAAGGCTTACAGAACAAAATAGTTTCTCATTTAACAGTTAGTACACATGTTCACATGTTGCCCTATGACATGGTTAACAACCTCACAACACGTCAACACTGTCCTTACTCAACCTTGGGGTCCCTATCACCAGCTTTCCTGTCCCCTTCTGCCTTCTGGCCATTGTCCCTGGACTGCTGTGCCTCATTAGTCCCATTTGGTTTTATGGGGCTCTCCACTCCCTGGCTGAACGGTGAACCTTGGAAACGACTTCACCACTGAGCTAAAAGCGTGTCTGGGGGCCATACTCTAGGGGTTTCTCCAGTCTCCTTTAGGCCAGTAAATCTGGTCTTTTTTTTTTGTGAGTTAGAATTTTGTTCTACATGCTTCTCCAGCTCTGTCCAGAACCCTGTGTTGTGATCCCGGTCAGAGCAGTCAGTGGTGGTAGCCAGGCACCATCTAGCTGTACTGGACTCAGTCTGGTGGAGGCCTTGGTGGCTGTGGTCCATTAGTCCTTCGGACTAATCATTTCCTTGTATCCTGTTCTCTTCATTCTCCCTTGCTCCCGAAGGCATGAGACCAGTGGACTATCTTAGATGGCTGCTTACAGGCTTTTAAGACCCCAGACGCTACTCACCAAGGTAGAATGTAGAACATTGTCTTTATAAACTGTGTTATGCCAATTGAGCTAGAT